ATGATTGGCTCCTGACTTTCCCGATGCATGGGGCCTTGACTCACCAAATTCATTGTTTTGGTTATCATCAGGCCGCCACCTGGGTCTGCATGAAATGTGCAGATATTGTAAAATTTACGTTTCGTTAGCTTAGGAAGATGCAGGACAAGTAAATAAGTAATTATTTAATCGTTGTGAATGTGAGATCATACACGTACATGATGTCAGACTTTAAGAGTGATACGTAGCACGTTCAACGAGTGAGACCAAGCTAAAAAAGCAACAATGAGTGTAAGTGATATTTTAAATTCAAATTTCTCTCGTTTGGGATTGATTGTCAATAAGGTCTTAATATTACTTTCTAAGTTGCTTATGTTTGGATGTTGGAATTTCACCCATACTTAGAGTGATACTTCAGGAATTCTGGCTTATTGATTGGTACATTGGTACAGCATTTAGGTATGGAATAAAGTCAGTTTGTGAGAGTGAAGCACAGAGATTGAGGGAACTGGACACTGCCATCTTTTAGGAAATAGTCATAGTCAACACAGGTACAGCTGCAGTGGCCTCTTATTTGCTGCCTCTTATATCCCCTGCATATCACTGCTTTGAGACTAAGCCTGCAATACCTTCATGCAGCCAGAGTTCTTAATGTCACATTTTCTCTAAGTTGACATGAAGTGCTAGTAAAGGAGGGTACCGGGGCCTTCCCCCCCTATCTCGTAAATAACTCAACTTTTGAGTGTATACAGACTGTATACACTTTTCTGTGCTTGCATCATAATAGTTGCATTTTTTTGTGTGTAGTTTGGTTCCTGTATTTGATGCTACATGCTGCTGTGGACTGAGAAACCTAAAGTAATGTTGGCACCAAATTGTGAAGTGCGCTAGTTGTGACAAGGTTGTACTTTTCTTTCAAATTCAGCTTAATTTGGAAATAGGCCCTGGAATTGAGCAATAAGCACTGTATTTAACCAATACCAAATTAGAATTTAATAGAAATTTACCCATTTACACTTACCAACACCCTCTTCAGTGTTTCTGATACCAAATCTTGGTTGTTCAAGGTGAAGAATATGATTGTCAACTACATACAGATTTGTGTCCAAATCTGTTTAAGTAACTATTATGTACTTGCACAAAGTGTAGGCCTATACGGTCTGTCTACACTCGTAAGTAATAAATACACTACTGGCCAAAATTAACTGGTCACCTTAACAATTTTCGTCAAATCCTATTTTATTTTCCAATAACTTGGTTAGTACTGAATCAAGCCAGATAATATCGATGAAATATTGTCAACAATTCATTATCAAGTGAATTTTAAATGTATCAAGCTCATTTCTAACAGGTTTTGTATTTCCTTCGATTTTTTTGTTGTTTTGACTCCAAAAGATACAATTGAGTACAGAAAATTTTGGTCAACATGAGGAGGAAAAACTCGGTAGAATACAGAAAACTTTGGTCAACGTGAGGAGGAAAAACTCGCCAGAAAGCCTCTTTTGTATGAAGCCTCGCTTTCATTGAGATTCCTGTTGCCTGGATACATCTGATTACTTATGTTCCAGCAATTTCCATCTATTTTATGTCAGATTTATTGCATTTTTTCCTGGATTTTTCTGATAAGTACTGATTTTCATCAATAGCTTTATGCTTTTTGTTCTTTGAAGATACACTTTGCTTTAAATTGATCGACTTATTACCTAAAAACAGTTTTTGTCTGTCTAGGCCTTTTTAATATGGACTCATGGTTGTTTTAGAGCATGGCTCTTGTACCTAGATTGAGTATGGAAGACAGGGTGAGAGTTGTTGTACTTCATGGAGAGGGAAACAGCTGCAACAAAATAGTTCAAAAAATGAAAGTTGCAAGATCTGCTGTGCAGGCAATAGTGAAGAAACACAGAGAAACTGGTACAGTAAAGGACAGGGAAGGCAGAGGAAGGAAACAAAGAACAACAGACAGAGAAGACAGTCATCATTAAAGAGGCTTTGAGAAACAGAAGACAAACATCAAATTCACTGTCAAATAAGCTCAGAGAAACTTTCAATGTTGAAGTAAGTGCAAGGACAGTCAGAAGAAGACTTCTGGAAAGTGGTCTGAAGTGCTACAAAGCCAAGAAAAAACCACTGTTGACTGACAAGGCAAGGAAAAAATGGTTAGAATGGGCAGTTGAGCACAGGGATTATGACTCGGACAAAGTTGGTTTCAGTGATGAAAGCAGATTTTGTTAATTTAGTGACAGGCCTGTTTTGGTTAGAAGGAGGAAAGTAGAAGAATACCTTCCTGAATGCCTAAACCCCACAGTAAAACGGAGGTGTTGACATAATGGTGTGGGACATCATTACAAGAAAAGGTGTTGGTCGTATCTTTAAGGTTGATGGGACTTCCAATGAGGATTATTACTTAAATATCCTTAAATACTGTGCAGTACCATCTCTTCACCATCATTTCAATCAGGGAGAAGCAATCTTTCAACAGGATAATGCTCCCTGACACAAACTGTAGCTTCAAAGAACAAAAAGCATAAAGCTATTGATGAAAATCTACATATCAGAAAAATCCAGGAAAAAATACAATAAATCCAACAAAAAATAGATGGAAATTGCTGGAACGTAAGTAATCAGATGTATCCAGGCAACAGGAATCCCACTGAAAGCGAGGCTTCATACAAAAGAGGCTTTCTGGCGAGTTTTTTCTCCTCAAGTTGACCAAAATTTAGAAATAAGCTTGATACATTTAAAATTCACTTGATGATGAATTGTTGATAATACTTCTTCCATATTGTCTGGCTTGATTCAGTACTAACTGAGTTATTGGAAAAATAGATAGGATGTGATGAAAATTGTTAAGGTGGCCGGTTAATTTTGGCCAGTAGTGTAGAAACTAGGAAAGGTTAGGATTTGGGTTTGCATGATACCTTGGCTTTGGTATTTTTGTCTCTGGAGAGTGTGTTGCTCTCAGATACAATTGTGATTTATAGCACAGTATGTTTATTTATTTTCTATTTTGTACATTTCGATAAATTTCGAGTTTCAACCAGCCTAGGACTTTCGAAACAATTTTTAGTATTTCTTTTCAATCACAGTGACACTTGTGGTGGAAGGAAGTAGAAGATAAATTTAGTAGATTTATTCACTCAGTCATTTGCAAATATTATTCACTGTATAAAAGATGATTGATTGAGACTTAACTGTTAATTACATTTCTTTGTGCCAAGCTCAGCCCAGATTTGTATTTGGCAACAGCCGATTTGGTAAAGTTTCTGGTGCAAGAACTTTTGTTTTAAAACACTGGCAAGATGTAGGGTACAATTGCTTATATGATTTGATATGAAGTTTAGTGGCACTATGATTTTTTTTTTTATGCTTCTAGGGATTTTGACTATCATTTTTACCACAAATCATTAGTTTAATGTTTATACCCCCTACCATTTACTCCCAGTAGTACTGGTTATTGAGTTATTGAGGGGGAATAACAGAAGAGACCATTATGGTGAACAGTACCTTGAGGGCTTTGCACCCTAAAATACTTTTTATTATTGATCTATGACAAGACTTTCACAAGCAAGATTCATAATTTCTCATGTAGCCTGATGTGATTAGAGTGACTACAATATTCTTTTTCATCCAGCAGGATTGGGTAGGGAGTATGCAGGTCATACCAAATGGAGTTAATTTCTGTATAATGTAAAATATAGTCTTTTTACAGTATACTCACACACAAAACATAGTATGTGTACATTGATTGTTTTTCCTGTTCCTAAACTTAGGTGTATTGTTGTTAGTGTGCGTACTGGAGCCAACACAAATGCACACAAATCTTCACAATATGGCAACCAGTTCCAGACTGTGTTGAGGAATAGAAATCACAAAGCTATTGACAATAAGCAATGTGAAACTGTTCTTGCTTATGCTTAACTTGTTCATTTAAGTGTAGTTTTCATTATTTCTCCTCTGTAGGTGAATCAAACGTCCTGTAATTTCTTTTTTTATTTGATTTACGCATTGTCTTCAATTAACCCTACACTGACAGTGCCAGAATTTTCTCTGTAGCACTCTTTCCAATGACTACTGGCAATCATCTAGCCTTTCCGGTGTAGCAGCATTACCTTGCAACCTGCAGCTCAGTTTGGTCACACAGGTCCACAGCCTTGTCTTCACACCTCACCATCAGCCGCTTCTCGATGACTCAGTGCTGAGACCTAATTGGATAATAGGGACACCTAACAGCTTGCTCATTGAACCGCAGGCTCCCCTTGTCCCCAGACAGCTAGCAAAGCTTAAGAGTACTTAAGCTCCAGCATCCGGGCTGAGATCTGCATCCCTCGATTAAGTAATTATTCATCTAAACACGACAACAGCAGCAACAACACAAGGCCTGCCCAGACCTTCACCAATGGGAAGCCTCACTGGCTTCCCCATAGATCTCTATTCACCTTTAGCATCCAGCCATACCTCTAGGAACTCACACCCACACCAATCATTCCCTTAAGAGATAGTGACCAGTCAAATGGTAAATGCAACCATCTGCTATACCGGAAGAAAGTTTTCGGTGTACCACTGGCCTTTCCCGCTCACTCGCCAGAGTGAATCATGAGTATATACACATGCATGTCATGAAGGATATGATTGCTATGATGGCTATATTTGTGCCTGTTAGCTGGAAGTTATGTGCACATCAGCTAAGACAAAAGTGCATTAATTGACTGCCAATCATTAAAGGATGGATGACAGTTGTAGTAGCAGCTACAATGACTGTAATAACTTCTTAGCATTTATCATAAAATCTGGGATATACATGTTTGTGCATGTGTGCATGTTTGTGTATTGGGTGGGTTATTTGTTTGCGAGTGAATTTTTAAATGTTTTTGTGGACGTTGTACATGCATATGCGTATGTGTGTGGATTTGTAATTATGGATAGAATTTACTTCAAAATAGTATAATAAGTACAAATAGTAGTAAATTATTCACTGATTGTGCAATTATATATATATATATATATATATATATATATATATATATATATATATATATATATATATATATATTATATATATATTATATTGCTCTCTAGTTACAAAGGCTGTATTATTGGTGCACATATTCCAGCATCAAAACATCTTATCTCTTACACATACTTGCCAAATGCATAGTAAATAGCCTATTTTGGAGGTGATGGAATTTCCATTTTACTCAAGTAATTCATGAATCTTGACATGGATAGTACTGCTTAGAAAGCATCTTCTAATGGTTGCTGGGCATATTTATGACTTGTAAAGCAATATTAATTTTACTATTTTTTTTACAAATGTTTCATGCCATGTGTCTATCCAGAAAAGTGATCAGTAGTTCAACATATTTTTCTGCAAGATCTGACATGTTCCTCTTTTAGGTGCCCTGAGAACATGACCAAGGAGGTTCTTGTGTTTTATGTTTTTCTTATCAACTTCATTATAAATGTAAAGAATAGACTGGCATTGCAAGGAAGGGTGTTGTGTGAAAATGGTTGATAAGTGTAAAACTATTTTTGTGTACTTTTTCAGCTAGTTTTCTACAATTTATGCAGAAGTAGGATTGTTTTTTTGTTGTTATGTTTTTCCACTCTTACTAGATAGTAACCACAAAGAGTGAATCTGTAGAATTTGAAAGAGTGTGCATATAATGAGGTTTAGTAAATGGAAATGCACTTTGTGGTTTTGGAGTTTAAAAAATGATAAGAACCGTCAGCCAGACATAAGCTTAAAGTCTCAAGCAGTTATGCTAATTGAAGGATCAGCATCATACTTTGTATTTTGCATATTTAATTGGTTGCCACAGGTAGATTTGGATTGGTTTTTAATTTTTTTTTTTCAAATGCCATGTTGCAGACCAGGTAACATGTTACAGATCAGGTATAACTCTTAACTACTTTAAGAATGTGTGAGGTATGTAATAACCTTAAGAATGTTTAGCTATTCAAAAGAGTGGTGAATATTGTAGCCTCCTTTTTTTGACGAGAAGGATGAATGGTTAGGATAAATGGCCTATTTATCCTAGTGATGATTGATGGCATTTTTATATGCTATAGCAAGGGTAATACGAAATTCAAGACAGTACCTGTATCTCCCATGACAATGGAGGCTGTTTACTGTTCTGTTTAGGATACAGACAAAATGTTGACTACAATACAGATAGTTTGGAAGCAACAGCCTTCCAAAGTTGGCCTGAACCCTTGTTTTGGTAATGAGGCTTTTTGCCTTCTTACAAGGGGCTGTTCCTCAACAACAACACATGAGATGAAGATCTCATCCCAGTGTAAGGGGGTAGTCTGCTATGATGTGATAGGACATCATCCCATACTGAATGAGGTAAGAGGTAGTGGAGAATTGAAGAGATTTGATAATGATTAAAGCAATTAAAACTTTTCAAAATTTGTAAAAGGGTTATATAGGGATATATGTTTTGCCAGTGACTTATATTCTATGTAAAAAGGATATGTATATATTTTTCTTCTGTGTTTGTATTTTATACACCATATGCAACTTACTAAGAAAATTATTTTGAAAAAGTCTATAGAAAAAAAAGTTTAAGGATGGTTTTATCAATTTTCTTTCATAGGACAGTATAATTGTGAATTTCTCCTGAAATACTCTAATGCAACATATATAATTGATGGTGACACAGTGCTCATATAGGTATGCCATTAAGTTGAGCATCCTTAATCTAAACAAAAAATCTGCACTGGAAATGATGTCATAATATGGAACTTGAACACTATGTAGAAATGTTCACCTCTAGCCCAGTATACCTGTGTGGCTGTATTAGGCTAAGTCAGTGTGTGTTCATTGTGTTGTTAATTTCTGTTAAAGTCAGATCTGTACACATTGTTTGGATCTAGTTAGGGATTTTAACTCAGGTTTCATTACCAAAAAAGCTTATTCATCTTAAAGCCAAATGAATAAAAATTAATAATAATTTGATCATTATGTCCATGAAAATTGCCAGAAAATTAATGTAGACTTGAAGAGTTTTCATGTTTCATTTATCTCTTGTTTATTTATTTTGTTTATTGATCTTTCTTACTCATATTTTGAATTTCAGAGACATTGGTAATGAAAAGATATACCTCTCCAGATACAAGGAGTTAACCCTTTTGATGTGGTTTTTCTTTCACAGCAATATAAAAAAATATAGCAAGCAAAACCATCCAGGATGACAGATGACAATGAAACAATCAGCAGTCTAAAGCTGGAGTCAGAACTTGGAGGAAGTGCAGGAGGGGGATGCATCAGTTGTCCCATCTTGCGGAAGGTACAGTCATGATACCAATTGGAAAAAATTTGTTATGCCTGAATATTGCCAAGTTGGAATTGCTCTTAATGATATTCCCATTGTCCTTTTATTGTCCTAACTTTGGGATTGCCCTGAATTACCTCTCATCACATTCAGAGACTCCAGACATGCCGCGAGTGGGTGAAGTTTTACCATGTAAAGCTTGAACAGCAAGAGTAAGTGCTTACTTAATTTACTGGTTGAGCTGTTATGTTTGATAATTATTGTCCTTTTTTAAAGTACTAGGTGTCTTTTTCTTCTACTCTTTATATGATGGTATATGTTTATCAGATGGCTTTCAAGAATGGATATAACTTATAATATTTGCATTTCTGGACTACCGTTGATCATAATATTTAAATATATATTTTTTTTCTCTGTCAGCAAACTCCTTCGCATTGCGGCAGATTACGATAGAGTAAAACAGCAAAATGTGGAGCTGCAACTGGCCTATGACCAAAGAACTCGAGAGGCTTCTTATATGCGTGAACAGATGGCAAACTTGTTACTTGAAATCCAGCCACTAAGGTCAGTTAAAGTCAGTCGTTTAGTTTTTTTGTTTTGTTTTTCTATCTCTTGTTGATTTTTGTGTGTACCTGTTTGTTTTATATACTTCTTTTGAAGATTCATATATTTAATTTATACTTTTTAAAATTATCTTTGAAATAACATTTGAGAGTGCAGGGTGAATGTCATCAGATTCAAAACATTTGTATTGCTATACTGTTCTATTAACCCTTTTGTAATAATGAATTCCGAAGTCTATTGGGTTGTGATTTAAGAAATATAGATATTTGCTATAGCAGGCAGAAGTAATGTTGAAGATGAGTGTTATTGATCTTCCCTTAATAACAGGAAAAAGATTAGCACTTTAGAAAATGACTTAGAAGATGAGAAGAAATTGACAGAGGCTGCAGAAAACCAAGTGCTTAGTTTGAGACACACACAGGATCAGCAAAAGCACCAGATAGATGCCTTGAAAGCTAAAGTTGACTTAAATCTCATTGAAGTCCTGGAAAGGAAACTGAACACAGCTCGCAGTGAGATTAAACGTTTGAGATGCTCCCTGGATGACAAGTCTTGTGAGTACAACTTTTGAGTCACTTATTTTGTTATTTCAAAATTGCAATTCACCTTTGCAGCATAGATAGTAATTTTTAAAAAGAATATGTTGCTTTTTGGTTTTCTATTGTGAATTTTTGGTGGCAGTGACTGTTGATTTATGCCTGAAGTAGAAATGTCAGACTTTGATCTATTTAATCATCTGCCTGTTTTTATTTAACTTATTGACATAGGCTTTAGTTTCTAGACTTATATTACTACTAGCTGTGTTTAAAAGCAGGTTTTGCTGGAATGAGCATGTATAGATCATTTAATACTTTATTTCACTACATAATGACTGCTCTAAGGTATACATTCCTATAAATATATAATATACATTTTAATTATTCATTCTTGCTCATCAAAATTACTGTCAAAACTGTCATTGTCTTGGTCATCGACAAGAGGGATGTGGAGAACTGTCATCGGTTTTACGTCCAGCGTTTTGTCCGTGATAGCCACATAGTCCCCATGGTTTTGCCGAGCTAGATAGATGCTGCCAGCAGTGAGGAGAAGGACCAATCCCACTGCAAGGGACCCAGTGATGGCAAGGTCTATTGTGTAGTCTCTCAACCACACAGTGACACGAGAACTCAGCTCATGGTTCATTACGTGCTCCTGGTCACTTTGAGGACAGCATGTTATTTGCACCTGTAAGAGAACACACTGTGGTTGATGATAGAGATTGAGAAGGCTGTGTCATGAATTAAGCAAAGAAAAATTAAGTGTAGGAAATGATATTGGTGTATTTTGTGTTGCAGCAATGATGTTAACCTGTGGTGTGATTGTCTGATTTGTGGTAAGCTCTGAACTTGTATTGGTAGCCTTTTCTGAATGTCTTCCTATGAATATTAATCACTGCTAAGTAATCTGGATATTTTACTTGAGAATTTTACTTTTACCTTAATCATTTTAGAATCTTGTTATTATAACACAGCAGACTTGGCAATACAAGAGGTTGATCTAGTTAAAGAATTGCAAAATTCATGTAGTGCAATATACTTCCATTAGAATATAAAATATTGGTATTTACAAGATTTACTTGATATATGTGAATGTTTTAAAGCTGATTCAGTAAAAAGACATGGATTCTGTAAAAGTGATTATTATCGATATTGGAAGTATACAGTGATGATTAGGATCAACTGTAATGGTTAATTGTGCTACCCTAATGAGATAGTTTTGATGCATTAATGATAGAAATATTGGGTTTATAACAAATTTTTGTTACAATATTATATCATAATAAAAAAAAAAGTGAAGTGCTTGTGGCATAACTGTAATTACTAACCTGACACATGTACTGGCCACTGTAGTTTGCTTGCAGGTTGCCCACACCAATGGTATCCTTGATTAAGGTGGCATTTCTGTCATTAATGTGTGAGATAGTCTGGAAGCCCTGGCATGCAGGAATGAAATCCTTTGGAGTGAGGGCACACTGTCCCTTGGCTATATCATCAGATTGGTAGAGCCACACTACACTTTCCATGACGACTGGAGGAGCCAGTGGGACTTCACACTGCAGTGTCAGCTCTGACCCTTGCCTCAGTGTAAGGCTGGTATGAGGATGGAGGCGGATTGCATCAAGGGCGGCCAGGCATTCCTGATGGCACAATGAGGGTGGTGCGGGTGTAACTGTACTCAGAGAGGGGTTTGTGGAAGACGGAAGTGTTGTGGGCTTTTCTGGAGTCCAGGTTGGAAGCTCTGTGGGTAACATAGAAGCTGTTGTAGTTCCCACTTCTGGGCTAGATTCTGTAGGTTTCTGTGTGGACTGATGACCTCCTGTAGCAGCATCTGGACTTGATCCTCTGGCATCCTCTGTCTGTGTCTCTTGTTGCACAGACCTTTTTCCACTTGGGAGTGTGGTTATACTTGCTTGGGTAACTTCCTCATCTTGTGTACTGTCAGACACTTCCTCCTTGTGCATGAGACTTAATTGTGGGGCAGCAATTGGCATCTCTGGGTCTATATGATCATGAAGAGGCAGCAGGAGATGAGGTTTGCTGGTGCCACCATCTGCAAGCTTCAGCACAACAATATCTTGTTGGCACAATGAAGTTTTAGGGGAGAAAAGGGTGAGGAAGAGAAACAAGATGATAGAGGAGAGGAGGGCAGACGACATAGTGGACAATGGGTAGTGGATGCCAGTTTATAATAACAAGTAGGAGGATGTTTCCAATTATTCTTGTGATGTCTGTGATTTGCTAAACTACATCTTTCCTGGCACATAATGTGTGATTGTTATTGAAACCCTACATTATCCTTGGAAGATGATATTCCTGGGAATTCAGGGGATTTTTCAGATGCTTGGTGAGTACTAGGTATTCTTTGGGAACTTTTCAGGTATTTCACAAAATATTCTTTGGCAGTTTGTGCAGGTAAAGTATTCCTAAAGTGCCATATACAATTCAAGTAACAGGCACATAGTACGTAAATGGCACTCAAATGCTAGATATTCCTAAGTGTCCTTTGGGTGTTGGTCGTTCCTTGGCAGGTAAGTTCTCCAAAGGGCTTCCTCTGGTGCTCGATGCTCCGTGGTGCTTCTCAACAGTCAGAGAGTTCCCAGTTTTGTAGGTGCTTTTTGATCCTCAGGTGATTGGGTGGGAGAAGGTGACGGGTGCTTCAGGAGTGCTGCTTTTGCTCCTCGCGGTCGTGGAGAGATATAAAAAGCAGAGCGGAGGTAGGGAGGGGGAGGGAGAGAATGGAGGGAGCTCGGGTGGAAGATCTTGAGGCTGGAGGTTGTGGTGCCGATGGTCGTACGGGGGAAAGGGTGGGTGGCGTGACGGCAGCGTTTGGCGGAAAGGGCAGCAGCGGCGTGGTGCTGTGGAGGAGCCGACGGGCGGTGGTGTGTGGCGGCGGCTGCACCAGGCTGGCTGGGCGGCCAGGTGAAGAGAGAGCCAGAAAGAGAGGTAGTGAAGAGCAGAGCAGGGCAGAGAGAGAGAGAGAGAGAGAGAGAGAGAGAGAGCCGAGGAGAGACGTCTCACCGGCCTGGTATTGACTGTGGCCCCGCGCAACCCCGCGCCGCCCGGCCCCTCGCAGCTGCCGGACTGATAACGTGTTGATACGGCGATAACACGGGTGGCGATAACGCGCCCTTGTCGGGACATACACCGCTTATCGTGGCTATCGCGCCTTTGTCTCGGGGTTATCTGTTATATGAATACTTATGGCATGATCTGGTTACATCCTCTGTCCCACCCGCGGCTTTGCAATCAAACTCATTTTCCTTCTTTTTCATGGCCTTGTTTTTCTTCCGGTTTTCCATCCCGCCCTCTCCGATTCAGCTACTACACCCACACAAGCTCGTTGCCGTCGTCGCTAGAATTTTTTTTTTTCTCTCTCTCT